TGTGTGTGTGTGTGTGTGTGTGTGTCACTGTGACTGGAGACTGAAGGCAGGACCTCACCCCTTAGGTAAGCACTCTGCCACTGAGCTATATACTCAGCCCCACATTTTCTTTTCACTTTGAAATAGGGTCTCATTACGTGGTCCAAGCTGGCCTTGAACTCACCATCCTCCTGCCCCCAGTCCCCTAGGGGCAGGATTTTACAGGTCTATGCTTCAGTTTTCCCTTTAAAAGTACCACAAGCAAGTTAGAACCATGCTCTTTCTGTCTTGGTGAGTTAAGAATTTGCTGTTTGGAATTGTAGGCTGTAAGAAGTTGGTCCTCCATGGATGCTAAAGCAAGCTACCACGTTTGGGACTAGTAGCTAGAATGTGGATCGATGTAAACATTTCTTCACTCCAGGGATACCCGTTTGCTCTATTTCCTGAGGCTTCTGAACCTAGAAGTGAATGGGCCCAGGGAGAAGCAGGCAAGAGTCTGCCGAATGGATGATTTCAGGACTCATGCTGCTTGCCACTAGGGACTTCCAAAAAGAAAGGGAGAAAGAAAAGTGCTGTGAGCTTGGACTGCTTGAAAATGATGCTTGGAAGGAGAGATGCAGAATGGGTCTTGGTTTGCATGAGAAAAGGCAAGCACCAAGATGAGGGGCCCTGAAGTTCATAGGGGCGGGTCTGGATTGCTGTTCATGCAAAGGGCCTTTCCTTCTGGTTCACTGTTGTATCCTTCAATACCTAGAATAGGGGCTGGAGACAGTAGGTAGCATATCAACTTGAAACCCGCTTGCTGGATCCTGTGCATAACCCTTTGATGGGAAGATTATTTTACACTTGCCTGGGACAAGCACAATGCCTTGAGTATTGCTGCTGGCTGCTAGTTATTAGCTTTGCTACCATGTACCTTTTGAGCTAGCTTACTGTTTACTGAGAGAGCCATCCTGGATATTTAGAAATGTAGTAATATTTCTAGCACCTACACACACACACATACATACACACACACACACACACACACACACACACACACACACACACACACACACACACCAATCCCAGCTGTGACAGATACAGCTGGCTGAGTATTGCTGTGTGGACAGAATCATCCCTGGTAATTGAGAGCCACTGGTCCATATCGGACGCTAAGGCTTGGCTTGGAGAAGTCTTACAAAAACTCAGAGTCAGAATGGATTGCAAAGATCTCTGGTGGTCACATCCCACACTACCTAGTTGTCATTGTCTAAGCTGGCCCAGCTATACTCAGCTGTTGGGTGTGTCCTGAGTGGTAGCCACTTCCCCCATTCCCCCCCCCCCCGCCCCCTGCCCCTCCCCCCCACCCACCCCCAGCCACGCACCTTTGCCTTATCCCAGCAGCCTTGACTCCCACAGTGGCAGAACCATTCTGAGCACACCATCTGCCCGAGCCCTACCGGCGGTGTGGTTGTGGCTGTGTATAGATGCCATGTTTGGCCCCTTGGAAATAACCACTCATCCAAAAGGCAAAAGGCACCATGGGAGCCTGGCCGTGTGTCCTGCTCTGCCTGGCGAACACACCACAAGTCCTGCCCTCTGTTGCTTCCCTTCGTGTTTATTGACGTCAATCATCTCCCTGACCCATCCAGAGCCATGTTGCAAATGGGAGGCAGGAAAGAAGAAGGGCGAAGAGAAGAAAAAAGAAAAGGGAGGTAAGAAGACTGAGAGAGAGAGCATGGCCTCGCCGAGGGATACACCCAGGACTCCTGGTTTTTGCTCTGTACATGAGCACCCTCTCGCCCTCTCAGGTCAACCCAGGAGTAAGGTTGAATGGTTCTGCCACTGTCTGAAGACAGCCTTTTGCCTTTTTTTTTTTTTTTTAATCCATAAAGAAATATATTTGGAAAACATCTGGGTAACTGGTGTGGGGTAGCTTCTTTTGATAGGATAGACCAGAAATACATAGAAGGACAGCTAATAAAACATTTGAGTTGGAAACAGGGTTCACATTCTGTCTCTGTCTCTGTCTCTCTCTCCAGGGTCTTCCCCCAGGCTATTCTCCCATTCGTGATTCTCCTTTTCAGCATCCTGAGTGCTGCTGTTACAGGACTGAACCACCCAACCAGACCAGGGTGTTAACTGAGCTCGAGACCTATGGGGTCGGGCGGTTTTCCCGTCTCTCCTTGTTCTAGAACTTTGGAAAGCATACATATTGTGAGTGCTAGCTGTCGGTTGACCTGCCTCAATCCAGTGCCACTGGTGGCTTGTACAGGGATTGTGGAGTGGCTTTGGGCATGAAGCAGGCCTTCCCTTCCGAGTCAGGCTGAGAGCCTCTGGGTGCAGTAGTTCTTCAAATTGATTTCGCTCTAGACATCCTCAGTGATTTAACTTTGGCAGCTGTGTGTGAATGTGTGAATTTCCATATTCCTGCCTGGCTATGGATTCATTCTTGTGCATTGGATCCATGTGGTCATGCCTAGGCTTGCCTTTCTTTGTGGAATTTACATAGCAAGACACTTTAAAACAAGAACAAAACGGAGGGCTAGAGTGATGGCCGATTCAGTACCATGCTTGCCACAAAAGCATGAAGACCTGAGTTCTAGCCCCCAAAACCTCAGTACAAAAGCCAAGGGCAGCGCTGAGCTTCTGAAATCCCAGCACTGAGGAGGAAAAGGCAAGTGGATCCTGGAGCTCAGTGGATCCTGGAGCTCAGTGGATCCTGGGACTCAGTGGCTCCTGGGGCTCAGTGGCCAGCCAGCCTATTGGAATTGGCCAGCTCCAGTTTTATTAAGAGACCCTGACGCAAAATGGAAAAGATTGAAAAAGGAAGGCATTCAACATCCACCTCAGCCCTCCACATGGACCCTGCATAAATTTTCATGAACATGTGTGTATGCACAACACACAACACACACACACACACACACACACACCACCACCACCACCACCACCACCACCACCACCACCACCAAAGTGAAAACATGCAGAAGGCAAAAAGACTTGGTATTTCTGGTCCATCTATAACCAAGCCTTCAGCTCCAGATGTGTGAACTTGGGCTGTTTGCTCATCTCTGCACTTCCATCTCTCATGTGCAAAACAGGTGTGAGTCTGTATTTGAAATCTTCACATGCTGATGGCAGGGACGGGAAATACGATGTGTATGTAAAGACCTCTGTGTGTTGCCTATTGCGCATTTAGTAACACACATTAGGATCCAAGGATCCACAGAAAGGCTTCATTTGTTTTTATTTTTATTTTTGTCAGAGTGATGGGCAGATGTCTCAGTTGGTAAGAGTGCTTGTTCTGCAATCGCAAAGATCCTAGATCAAATCCCAATGTGCACATAAAAAGCCAAGTATGGTGGGTGCTCAGTGCCTGTGACCCCAACACTGGGGGGCGGGGGGTAGAGATGGATGTACCTCAGGACCTGACTGGCCTGCCAGCCTAGTTGAAACAGCAAGCTTATCTTCAGCAAGCATGTTACTGAATTTAAATATATATATATTTCACTAAATAAATAAACAGGTAAATTGAAAAATCAAACTTTTCTGACTCGGTCCCCTTTTCTCTTTTAGGTTCCATTTTGGGGGCGGAGAATGCATCACACTTGTCCTTGCCTGCCAGGCTTGGCGTGTTTACGGACTTCTTTCAACCGGTTTATTTGTTTGGCCCGGAAGTGATCCCTCTGAAGTAGGAACTTGAAGTGTGACCCTCCGCTGCACAATGTCTGTCAAGTCTTGCTTGTGATTGCGTCGTCACACAAAGAACACGCCAGGAAGAAATGCTCTCGCTTCCTCAACTCTCCAAGTAACATTTTGAAGTGACTTTTTTTTTTTCTGTTTGAAGGAGAGTTTTGATTTTTGGATAGACTTATAAAGGGCAAAGCATTCTGGAATGGCTTCTCATTTCCCTGTTTATGTTTTGGCTTGACATTTTTGAATGCCAATAACAACCACTTTCACAAATAGGAGAATAAGAGTAGGTATTTTGCTGCAGAAACTATTTTTTTTGTGTGTGTGTCCTTTGCAAACTGTCTGCCCATCCTGCCCTGTGCACAGATACTCCCTCCCTCCTTCCCTCCCTCTTCAAAGACTCCCATGGTCCTCACTTTAGCCTAGTATTTTGAAGTGGGGTCTCTACAACCCTAGCCTACTGGCAGAGCCACTGCGGAGGCCTAAACAGCTAGCTCTAGACTTATTTGGTGGCAAGAAGATGCATTTGAACCAGACACTCTAGACAGCTCATTGGGAGTGGAAATTGGGAGTGCTTCTGGAACTTTCCTGTACCCATCTAGCCCAGCGGCTTTCAGTTGTACTGTTTAACTGGTGGTAAGACAAAGCTAATGGACACTGAAGGAATGTGGTTCATTTTTCTAGGTTTGTTTGAGTGAAAGGCGTTTTCTCCCCAATGGAATATTACATTTCTTTTTTCATTTTTTTTACTTGAAGCTCTTTTTTATTTTTAATCTTCTTCTTGGAGACATTCTAAAGAATGCCACTTGAGGAGGAAGCATTGGTTTTCATCTGGTTCGACAGGAGTCATCATTTAAAAATCGGTGTTAAGTTATAATTTAAACTTTTATTTGTAACCCAAAGGTCTATTGTAATGGATTTCCTGATATCTTGCCATTTGTACTGGTATCAATATTTCTATGTAAAAAATTCTGTATCAGAATAATGACAATACTGTATATCCTTTGATTTATTTTGATATTATATCCTTATTTTTGTGACGGTTGTCAACAGTTTTTATTACAAGCAGATTTCTATATAGCCCTCGTCCTAAAGTGGGCAGACACCCCAGAGCTGGTGAACTCACCCTAACACTGCGTGGATTTTCATTTCATTCAGGAGAGTTGTGTTTGTGTGAATTTCAGGGCAGCACAAAAATGAATAAATAAACCATGTGTACCCATCAAAAAGGCTTTGGAGAGTGAAGGAAAAAGTGACACCCAGAAGTGACTGTTAGCCAGGATCCCCCTGCAGGTTTGCCCTGCAAAACCTGATGGAGTGTGCATGATGCACGGGCTAGGCTCTCGCAGTGCCAGTGTGTTCTGGCCTTGAACAACTCCCTAAATGTTGTCAGTCCATACTGCATCACAAATAAACAACATCTGAAACCTTAAGTTTAACTGACTACACATTTGCCCACGCCCACCCACCACCTGATCCCCCGAAGTCGATAGCGGTTGTCCATTCCGTGGTGATTGGCTCAGCTAGGGCTTACACAGGTATGTTGGATATAATTTATCCCTCAGGCTAACATGTGGCACAGTTGTGTGGGATCTGGGTGCACTAGTCACCATAGCTTCTAAGAGAAGTGTTTTCCATTCACTTTCCACTGAAGGAAACATCCTTAGCAAGTCGATTGAAAGCAAAATAAAAATCACTTGAACAAGGGGAATTGTGGGAAAGAAATGGGCATGTCAGCAATTTGGCTAACGTTATTTTCACATAGCGTTCAAGACATTTTCCAGCAAGTGGCAAAATGTAATTTTGATTTTTTACCAGTTAAAATCTGAGACTACCCTTTATACAATCTTGCTCTTACACTTATCAATCCAGTTCAAAAGGCTCGTACCTAAAGGGACAGATGGCGTCTCAGGTGCCCAACCCAGAGGACCAAAATGTATAGAAAGTAAACAGCTGAGTTGGGTCCTCATTAGCACCCCAGAGCCTTGCTGTCTGCCCTCCCTCTCTTTGCTTGTTACTTTCATTGTGTCTAGAGTCACACACTACTTGGAGATTATTTTGTTAATTGCCATCAAAACCAACACCTTTCCAATCACTGTCTCACAAACCTTGTCATCTCGTTTCTCAGAAGGTAAATATTCTCTTAAATATTGCTAGTGTGTGTGTGTGTGAGAGAGAGAGAGAGAGAGTGTGTGTGCATGAGGAAGGGGAGGGGGAAAGGGGAGTGTGCCAAGGCACACCTGTGGAGGTCAGAGACAATTGTGTATGTTGATTCTCTCCATCTTTTTGCATAGGCTCTGGGGAGCAAACACCAGAGGTCAAGTTTTCATGGCAAATGCTTTAATGGGCTGGACTATCTATCACACCAGCCCTCAGCAGTTGTTGAGGATGGTTTCATGAGACACATGTTAGGTGTATACCCTGGTAACTGCGTTTTCAACCCCCAGGATGGCCCTTCACAATGTCTGGGATGTCCTGAAACTCTACAAGGTAAGGCAAAGGTAAGGATTTCCAGGTGAAAAACCAAATACCGGGTGTATGTATGATACACACACACACACACACACACACACACACACACACACACACACACACACACACACAATGTAGTGAGTTCTCTGGAGAGCAAGGCAGAAACAGGTCTGGTGCCGACAGCTAGTAACCAAACTCAAGTGGACCGTCCAGCTCTTTCCCGCTGTCAGCTGTCATGGACAGTGTTGAGATCTGACGTGAACTGTTCTCCACTTGGCCCCCATGGCCATGGGCCACCACGAGGTCTTCTACCCTTTGTGTTTCCTCCCTCTGGGTGCATTGTGGGCAGCAGCTTCAGACTTCTGCTGCCATGTCGTCCCCTCGCTGATAGACTGTAGAGTCCCCTCAAGCTGGGCACCTACATAAACCCTTCCTCAAGTCGCTCCTTGTCAGGAATTCTGTCATAGCAATGAGAAGAGTAACTAATACGGAGCGCCATTTCTAGCTGTCTAACTTTGTACTTAAAAACTTGTTTTCCTTTGTTGTTTTACTAGAGGAAGTTTGCACCAAAACTACTTCTCCCACAGCTGAAGGCGCCGGTGCTCATCCGCATTTCAATATGGCTCTGGTTAAGGCCCTGCGAAGTTGAGATACAAACCAAACACAGTCCAATCATCCTCTTCTCTGGTCCTCATCCTGTCATTTCCTGGCTTCGTTCTCTGGGGGACGAAAGGCAGGGCCTGTTTTTAACTTTAACATCAGGACACTTGCAGTGTTTAGCACACATCACTATAAAACCCCTGACAACCTTTTGTGACCTTTCCATTTTCACATTGTCACACATTTCAGATAATATCCTTGGAATTGATTTATTTAACTATTTCATTCGTTCTGTTATCTTTCCCCCCCTAATCCATTCATTTAACATCTTCCAATATTGAAAAAAAAGTTAATTGGCAGATAAAATATATCTATTATAGCCATAGTATTTTGAGTTATATATTTTAAGATGGCTAAGCTGCACCAGCCATTAGCATGTATCTCACCTCATATGCTCTTTATTGTGAAGACATTGAACATCTATGTGGGGGAATGTAACACTAACACCGATCATCATTCCATACAACAGATTTCCCTGTTAGCTTTTCTCATGCCATTCTAAGGATGAGTGTCCTTTGTCCCTGGATCCTTAAGGGAATCAATCTTATTCTCTACTCCCACCAAAAACACGGGCTGTTTTTGGCATACACATTCCCCAAAGGTAGAGGTGGTATTAATATATGACTCCTCTGTTAGAGGCAGGGTCTCACTATGTGTCCCAGGCTGGCCTGTGAACCGTCCCTACCTCAGCCTCCCAAGTGCCACAGTGCTCAGCTGACAAGCTGTTTTGGAGGTACTGTTCCCAGTTTTCCCATTTACCATCCTCTAATATGCTAATTTGGTTGGTTTGGGATGAAGCCTTGGTGTTGTGATACTTTTTAAATGTTTTTTCCCTTTAAGGTCCACCTGTAGCCAAAAGCCACTGATAAAAATAAAGGATGGCACGTTTATGGATGACGGTGTTCAACAAGACCGTTTTCTAGTTAAATTGGAAGGCAGGAGCTAAACGCCTCTGGAAGTTCCTTGGGTCCTTGGTGTAACTGACTCGGATTTCCTTCTCATTCTAGAAGAAGCACACAGAGGGGGCTCCGCTGGGGAATTCAGTGGTGGTTGCAGCAGTGTGTAGCTCATTTGAGAGGCAGGGGGGGAGGGAGGGTTCCACCCAGTCGGGCTGTGGCTCTCCTGTAGCTCAGATCTCTCTTGATTGTAGACTTTCCAGGGGGACAACTCAGATGACTCATTGTCTGAAATCTGCCAACAGTTGGTCCTTCTCCTTGAGTCTCAGGTCTTCTGTTCTACTGGTCCATAAACCATTATTTCCACAGAATGTGCATTAGTCTCCAAAGACTAGGAACATTTTTAAAAAAAGGGAAATTGCAACATTAAATTGTGATTCGTGGTGACAAAATGCTCAGACTGCATACACGTTTGAGTGTGTGCCCTTGTGTCCTCCTGGGGACTTCCTTGTAGTGTCTGGAACCCTCATGTCTGCAGCTGTGCCATGGCCTGCTTTCTGGAATTACCGCTCATGAATATTCCCAGGCACTCTGTCCCATGAGTTCCCCAGGTCCATGGCCCGAACCCCCCGCTTACTTTCTGGATCACAGTGTCCCACACTGTGGGTGATTTCTTAGTTGTACTAGGATTCCTGTAACCCCAGCTCTGACAACTGGCAGGGTCTTTAGACATTGTATATGCATCTTCCAGAGGCAGCGGGTACAGATGAAGACCTGTGCTTTAGACCACAGGTACTTTGTATCTGCTTGATATTTTTTAATTACACATTTTATTTCTCTCCTAAAAGGTAAAACAATTGTCAAAGTTAAGCCTTTGTATACTGGGGATACATCTCAGTTGGTCAAGTACTTGTGCAGACACAATGGCCTGAGCATAGTCTTCAGAAATCACATAGAAAGTAGAATGTAACAGCCAATGCCCATAATCCCAGAGACAGAGCAGGGGAGCAGGAGTCCTGGGGTTCAAACCAGCCATCCTTGGTACTTTGGTGAGCTTAGATTCAGTGAGCGATCCTGTCTCAATAAGCAAGGTGGAGAACTACTGAGGAAGAGGCCAGATGTTGGCCCCTGGACTCTACACTCAAATGAGCATACATGCGAACATGTACACACATGTGCACACAGACACAGAAGTAATTACGAAGAGTTAAACCTCAGCAAAATATGAAATACACTCAAAGTATTAGATAACCACAGCATGTCACTTGTCAGTCAGCGCCAAAGCAAAGAGCCCAGTGACATTCATCACTGAGGAATGATTTGGCCTCTAGGTTGTACTGCTAATCAAATTTCCACAATTGCTTCAGTTCATATATTTATCTTCTTGATTAAGATACAAGCCATGTATGTGTGGGAGGGGGGTTTCCACGGAAGAAACTCAGGCCAATTTGGAGAAAACTGTGTTTTATTAAGTGTGGTTTGAGGAGCTGTTGAGAAGTGTCCTGGATTGCATATCTCTGTGGCAAGATTAATGCTGGCATGAGGGTGTTTAGCCCGTTCTTTAAACACACAAGCCAACCAGCCAAATTTTTTACTATGGACAATGTAAACATAGACGTTCTGAAGAGGAGGGGTTAGTGCGATCGCTCAGCAGATAAGGGCGCTCACCACTCTCACTCTGCGAGCCGAATGGCCTGGGTTCAAGCCCTGAGACCTGTATAAAAGGGAAAGGAGAAAAGAAACTCCACAAAGCTGTCCTCCAGCCTCCACATGTGTGCTTTGACACATGCGCCCTTGTGTGGATGCATGCGCGTGCACACATACACGAGTAATAACAGAATTAAAAATGTTAACTTCTTAGAAATGATGAAAGGAAGCATCACAGAGCTATCTATCACCCAGTATCTCATCAATGCCAACAGTTTTGGTGGTGACCTTATTCCATCCCAGCCTCTTGCACCCCACCCCTCCTCCTCATTGTCCTAGTGCAAACCAACTTAGTATCTTCTTGATAATCTTCTTGTCACTGTATGTAGTATTCTGTTGTCCATTACTGTGACAAAATGCCCCTTGTTAGGTTTCCATGTGTGTATCTCTCTGTGTGTGTCCATGTTCTTGTATATGTATATATGTGTGTGTGTGTGTGTATACATGTTCTTATATATGTATGTACTTGTTTATATGTGTGTGTGTGTGCATGTGTAGGCAGGGACATGTGTGTATGGAGACCAGAGGTCATCATCAGGTACTTTCCAAGATCACTCTCCACCTTTATTTTTTTAAGATTTATATTTAATGACATGGCTATGTGTATGTCCATGTGTGGATATACACACTTGTGTCCTGGTGCCCATGGAGGCTGGAGGTGTCAGATACCCCTTGAGTTGGAGTCAAATGAGTTTTTAGCCACCTGATATGGGTGCTGGGAACTACACTTGGATCCTCTGGAAGAGCAGTACATACTCTCAATCACCAAGCCGTCTCTGTAGCTCCTATCTATAGTTTTGAGACAGAGTCTCTCACTGAATCTATTTATTTTTTGGCTAGACTTTCCAGCCAATGAGCTTCAGGGATCTATAGAGAGTCTTTCTCTGTCTCACTGGTCAGCTCCCAAATAACCACATGGAGACTTATTATTATGAAAGCTCCGCCAATAGCTTAGTCTTGTTCCTAACTAGTTCATATAACTTAAATTACCCCCGCATTTTTTAATGTACATCCTTTTATGTGGCTTGGTTACATTTTCTCTGTACCCCCATCCCGCTTCCTCCCTGTCTGACTGGCAACTCCACCTTCTTCTTGCCAGCATTATTTCTGGCTCAAAAATCCTGCCTGGCTATTGACTGCTTAGCTTTTTTTTTTTTTATTAAACCAATCAGAGTGACATATCCTCACACACTGTACAAAAAGATTATTCTGTAGTTGGTTTTCTTTTCTCATTGCTTGATCTTCTTCTCCCAGATTTCTCCTCCTATTTATTCCCTCTGCCTACCATCCCTCTCCCCCCCCCCCCCCCCCCC